CACAAGATCCATGATTAATGATCAAGCTTAGGAAGGGACATTGCTGAAAGACAATTACCTGCTATCACCGCAACTAAGATGCTCGAAGGGAAAAAATGCAATACGTCCCAAAAGTCAAGGGAGTGATGCACCTGGATGCAAGAGACAACAGATCTTAGATTGGAAGGTTAGGATTTAAACAAGGGTAAGCTTGTTTCAACCTGAAGAGTACCCACGAGTAGTTGTATGATCTGAAGAGAAGGATATCGTCAAAATTTTGATTGCACCGTCGCGAGTTTAAAAAAAACATCTCCCAATAATCACAGTCTTTGGCTGACATGTGTTGTGAAGGTCAATAAACGCCAAAATCATTTTAGATTAGTGGGCCGAAGTTCAATCTTACCAACTACTTATGTATAGGTGATTTTGAGGTCAATGATAACATCTAAAAGAATTCGGTCGGATTACAAAAACTCACGCGGATATGGAGTCGTCAATCTTTGATATGAAATCAGGGAAAATGATATTGGAAACGAAGGAAAGATACATACAGAGTAGGGCGAGGCTTATGCAAAGGTAGATCCATACGATTTGAGAATCCTTCAAAGCAATACTTGTCCAAGAATCAGTGTGTGAATCAGAAGTATCATGACCGTTGTCAATATCATTTGCTGGGGATCAACTTTGAAAATCGAGTATTGTAGTCCAATTCGACCGAGCCAAAGAGGTAGAATCCTTCAAAGCAATACTTGTCCAAGAATCAGTGTGTGAATCAGAAGTATCACGACCGTTGTCAATATCATTTGCTGGGGATCAACTTTGAAAATCGAGTGTCGTAGTCCAATTCGACCGAGCCAAAGAGGTTACAAAACCGGTTGTAAGTTCTCAAATAGCCACAAGGTGATCAGAGCACTGAATCCGGTCAGTGGGTAATCAAACTTGCTGATCTAATGAAACATATGACAGTTGATATGAAGTAAAAGAGAGCGGTAGTTGACATTTTAATGAGTGATCACAGTTGAAAAATTTTGAGGTGTTTGTGAAAGCTTTCGTGGTGTATTTATTACACAAGACGTGGTTTTACATAAGTTAGCAGGATAAAACTGTCACACATTAGGTTTTGTGAAGGGTATTTGTGGTCTGGTCCCAGTTTTGTCAAACTGCCTCACCGATACGCGATTGATTTGCATGCCGTTCATGGACGAAACTCATATGAGGACTCCTCACGCGTACTAGCTACCAACACTTATCTGTTGGTCAATTCAGGCAATAAGCACCGACTTCTGATAAGTAACGACTTCTGGTACATCTTAAGCCGTATGAGTACGGAGAAAAATTTTGGACGCACAAGATTCATGTGGAAATGTCTGGCCATCATTTGTGTAATTCAATTTGTAACTCTGGCAATTACATTTTCTACGTGTGCATCTTTGAGATGATGACAACTGAGAGGGGGGATTTCCAAGCATCATGCGTGAATATTTAAATATCAGCACGAGATAGTTGAAACGAGGAATATGGCGAGCAGTGAGTTTGCCACAGTTTATGCTTTATGAGTAAGCCCCATTTTTGGGGGCCAGTTCTGCTCTTCAGGAGCTTAGAGTTAAGGTTGGATGATTTGGATGTTTACAAATGGGCACGGTTGGCCATTTTGTTTTTGTGCACATCAGGCTGGGTCTATCTAAACGTGACCGCAAGGGCCTTTTATCTATTTGCAAAATGTATCAAATTAACGACACTGGAAGGCAGATGACACCCCCCTCACAACGTAGCTCGTTACACTGTGTCACTGACAGAGACATCCGCGGGAACCTTGATGACGGTGTACCGTCTTGCAAGGATATCTTCGTACCAGGTCTTCATTAACTCTTTGTCGTTCATTATGGCGGCAGGGCCGGCCTTTATCATCTCAGGGGTAACCTTAGGATCAGGCGCCTGATGAACCTCGAGGAATATCCCATTGGGAAATGGGATATTACGCAATACAGAGGCACAGTTGGCCTTCTTGGGATGGATGTGCAGCCGAGGTTTTAGTTCCTTGCGGTTCACGTGCTTGACGTGTTGCACTGAAGCGCCCCAGAAATTATCAGCTGTTAGGTACGGTAAATGTGGACTAGAATTGATGGAACTCACACACTAGGTTATTTAATTGCTGAGTGAAGTTTTTTCGTAGTTGATCATTTGAACTTATACCGGGGGTGTTGGTCTTGGGTTTTGAACCATCTCGACCAGTAACAAAGCGATCGAACCTTTCAAGGAGATGATTACCAAATGAGAAAGTCGTGAGATAAACTGGATCGGAGCCATATTCCTTTTGCCATCCGGCCATAGGGTTAGTCGTGGTTGGGTTCCACGAGGCCGCCATAAGATGATAGTGAACACCGTACATTTTGTGCACATGTTGAAGCTGGTGTTGAAGATGTGATAACCATAAGAACAGGGTGAGAGGGACATGTGGTCAAGGTCGAGGTGAGAGCCTACCGATGAATATATAGACTCGATTTGACTGATTCCCTTTTCTTGAAACTTGGAACTTTGTTTCATGTGGCGATCCAGTGCGAGATGATCCTTGACCTTCTTAACATTCACAAGCTGTTCAAAGCGGGGACGAAACCCTTCTTCTTCAAGCGTAAGGTGCTCGTGAGGCTGAAGGTCGGTAGGTTCATTGGATATTACCAGGGCAATGCGGTCGAACAACGGCTTTTGGAATATCTTGTCATCCGCCGAGGTCTTGACTTCTTGCCAGGCGGCACAAACCTTGTCGTTGTAGTTTGCAATGAGGCCGTCATTGGTAGAGTCGGGTTGATCCTCTGTTTGATTAACAGTCTGGGGCACTGAGGAAGGACAACACACATTGGATCAGATAAAACAAACCATGTCTATTACAGATTTCATACGAAATGAGTGCGGCATACTGATGTTGTCTACCGTGGCGGCCAAGCTGAATTTGCGGAATAGGTGGTAAGCCTTGACATCATTATCGCGACCGGTTCGATGTCTGTACGGGAAATAGTAGATCTAGTCAAAGCTGGAAGGTGCAGTTTAAAGGGTCAAACGTACATGGCATATTTCAGTGTGTCATAGGAGACGCCCCCAGCAATACTCAATACCTGCAAGCGGGCGGTAAGTTCGTCTTCCAAAGCTCTGGCTTCGTGGAGAATGCTGAGAGGTATTCTACTATTTGCAATTTTTTTGTGCACTTTAGGTAATGTTCAACCTCGTTGTATGTCCATGTTTCGGCGAGGGCTTTGTAATTATCTAACGTGGGTGTGATTGTAGGTTCCTTGGGTAATGGAATGCCATGGGCATCGACAGGAACTGCAGGTGGGTCTGGAAGTGGTAGATCAGTCGGTTGTGGTAGTTCGGCGACGGTGTCACGAGTTGTTTTTCGTCGCTTTCTTCGCTTCTTGACTTCAATTGGTGCTGGCTCTGCGTCCTCCCCTTCGGCCGGCCAGGTAGCATGTGTGTGGGGTGTCAACGCGAAGAGTATGTCAGTATGTCACATGTGAAGTGCGGAATAGGGCAGTGCAGTGATGTAGATGCTAGTTTACTGACCTTCGCCGACCTGGGTGTCTGATTCATGTGTGCTTGAATGCTCGTAAGGAGAAGCGTCCTCCTCATCTATAGGGTGAACTGACGGGATCAGGTCGAGGTTGCATTCATTCATAGGTAGAAGGAAACACTGACCTTCTGTTTCTTGATCTTCAGCGCTGTCTTGAAAAAGAAGCATTCAAAAAAATATCAGCCTAATTTTGTACTTGTGATCATTGCAAGTGGAAAAAACTTGTGGTGTACTGCTGCGTTTCTTTTGATGTCGACGGCCACGATCACTTATAGGTAAAGTGGTGGCCTTGGCCCTTTTGGGACGAGTAATTGCCATGGTTTTAAATGGTTCGTGTCCAGGGGTGGGTGACAGTAAAGGATGTTTTGATAAAAGTGGAATGGGATTGTGTGGGACCTTGACAATGTGAATATACGGGCGGCAATGCAAACAATGTGAAAAATTAGGTGTAATGCAGGGAGAGTTGTTACAGTCGTGACCCAGTGGATCACGTGGTTAGGGCTAGATTGGGTAGGTTTACTTGCGGTTGACATACAGTAGGCGTGCCAGGTACTGTTGATGGGCGGTACTCTAATGTTAAGGCGATACAGGTTAGCTTAGAGGTTCACGAAATGTATTGTGTGTACATACCGTGTTGTTTTGAAAGCGGTGAGTCAAATAGTGGTGGGTACATTTGTTGGTGGGGTAGACCTAGCGTGATGAAGGAATCTACCCTTCAAGGGTTGGTGTCAGAGAATACCTACCATTGCATGAGACCTACCCAAGGTCGAAAACTTACCGGGTGCTCAAAACCTTTGTGTTGGGTACACCGAGCGTGGCAAATGTTACCCTACACAATTTAATACATACCCTGGGTCTGATACATGACGCGGGGTCAGAATAATCTACCCCTGATACAAAACTTACTGGGACTGTATGTAACAAATACACCATGACTAACACCCAAAATAAATCCGACCGGGCCAAGTTGAGAAACCTACCGCACAAAGATCAAAACCTACCCTATCATGATGAGACCTACCCGGCGTAGGGATCGCCTGTATGATACCAACAGCATACTTACCGGGTCTCACAGAACTCACCAGGTGCAAGGCCTTGGGTATACCGTAGGTAAGCACATGGTTTCCTAGAAAACATTTGATAACATTATTTGTAAGATTTTTCAAACATTACACTAGGCCTCGCAGGAGCATATGAATAGAATGTTTAACAACCGATTGTAGGTTTTAAGATAGTTTCACTTAAAGAAGGAAAATCGTTGGTTAAAGGCTTGAGACCAGTTGTGGTTTGATCAGGATAATGTGAAATGCATCTACATGTTTGTTGCTCGAGAACGTTTCGCGTGCGATAAGACACAAGAAATACCATGTCTCGGCAACTGATCGGTCGTACAAATTGGATCTTTGACGGATGTAAAGCCAGCTTAGTGATTCTCGTGCCCATTCCGATGTAGTGTACGGTAGCTTGTTTTTGAACTTTGGAATTATAAAACCTTGAAAGAAATAATCCAACTGATCAATCGAGAT